AATTAAAAACACCTAAAAAATAGTTCTCAAATGCCAAGTGCTTTGTTTGTTTGTTTGTTTGTTTGTTTGTTTGTTTTTATTTAAAATAAATAAAACAACAAAATATTATCACGTTCAAAAGATGTCCTTCAAAACGGCATTTTTAACTTGCTGTATAAGGCCGCTGGGTACTTTTCCCGTATACCACACACAACTATTAAAAATCTTCCAAAATGCGAATAAAAGTAAGCACAATTTAGTCTCAGAAATAAAAAATATAGTTGTTTTCTTGTAACGTGCAATGTTTATGTCATAAACTAATAGGTTTTATTTACTTTATTCAAATGTATTGCAGTTTTAACACTTGAAAAAACATGAACAATATCAATGGCGATTACCCGATCGGGAATTGTTACCACTGGTCATGTGCTGTTTTCCCCGGTGTCATTTCAAAGGAAGAAAATTTTCAACATATAAAACCAAATTCGAAGCAAGTTTTTGTCATTTTGGACAACAACAACATATGCATAAAAATTACTTCATTTACAGTTAAATCGCTATAAAATCGATACCTTCGCTGCGATTTCGCGAAAGAGATTTGTATATACTGAAGCAAAAGGAGATATTAAAATAGGAAGGTACTAAATGCGTTGTTTATATCGAATCTATTAAATGTTGCTACTTTCATATTAAATATGGCACAAGAAAGCGACATTCGGAGATCACAAGAGTATCAAAGTTTCAGATCTACTGTTCCAAAACGAAAGGTAAGAGCTTATTTCACAGTATCATACTAAATAATGTGGAAATTTGTTTACAATTGTAAATTATATAGGATTACAGGATACTAATATTTTGACCCATGTAATAAGCTGCAATGCGCCCTATTTTAATATTTTCCTCTGACGCCAGACGACTTTACTCCTCAAGGGAAGAGCACTGGCTTAATTGTGTGCAGTATCACACTGTGTGTCCATGTGTCTTGTTAACCCTTGAGTGACAGTGCTCTCCTGTTGACAAGTAAACTTGTCTGTCATTAGCAATGATCGATGGGCATTAAATAAGTAAAAGAACAGAGTTGTGTCTTAATGTACCCGACTTTGTTATTTTGCTCTATCGAATGCCTGATGATTTTTACTTGTCAAGGGGAAAGTGCTAGCACTCAAGAGGGGGACAGCCCCCCAGACAGTCGGGCAGATTCTACCAGGGACGCCGGAACAATGTGAAGGCAAGGGGGGCAGATTTTCGTGAAAGGGCGCTTTTGAATTGATATATACTAAGAGATGTTTGCAAAACATCGGGAGTTGAACTTCACCTAATCATGTTTTCTATTTATTGGATGATAGGGTTGTGATGGGGTTCTCCGCCAGGCGATTGTGCTATTCTTGAAGCTCGATGACTGCATTTCTTGCGTTTTCTGAAGCAAATTCGTAAAAAAATCGCACTGACATTTCTGACAATTTGCTATTTTGCCAAGGCAATCCTTTAAATTGAAAGGGTACCTTTGCCCCCTTGCCCCTCCTGGTTAAGGGCAACAGGGGTGGCTGCCCCTCCTGCCCCCCAGTTTCGGCATCCCTGGATTCTACTTAAAAAATTGGGCAATTTGCTAATTGCTACAGGTCTGCTCACCTTGGCATAATGTTCTTAATGTCAAAGAAACTGAATGACAGATTGAAATTTGTTTCATTAAATTCAATTAATTGCATGCAAACAGACCGAAGATCTTAAATAATTAAATCCCAGAAATACTTGTTTACTTATCGTTTTAATAGGAGATGTATTCCTTCTATGTCCACCTCCCCCCCTAGTTGTTTTCCACCTGTACACGTATGGGATTAATTAACTAGTAGTCACAGGGTGGCTGTTACTGGATCTTTAGGGAGAACAGTTTAGAGCGACAGAGCCAGCATGTACCCCAAATTATTTGTTGATCTATCATTAGGTTATTGTCGACCCATCCTCAGAAAAGAGTTGGACAATTTATGATGCAGGGCCAAGAAATGTCCGCTGCCCACTGATATGTTTGCCGCCAGTGAGCGGAACCGCCGATGTGTTTTTTAAACAGATATTGTCTCTCACCAGCCTGGGTTATCGAGTTATTGCAGTAAGTTGATTCTGGATTGCATTTTAATCCCAGGTGTAAACAACCATAGACTAATATGCATATATTGCAAACAAACGTTTCTCGTTTTCTGTCATTTGTAGGTGGAATATCCAGTGTACTGGACATATACTGAATGGGTTGAAGGGATGAAAAAGTTGCTTGATTTCTTGAAATTGGATAAGGTACCATATTATATATATAACTATAATTTATCATCCATGCACATAGCTTTGATATTTTGGCTGAATGCCCTATGTTGAAATGCATCAACTATCTTCCTCGTTAAGTTACTAGGACACAGTTAATAGCTGAAGATATTAACTGAATGTTACCTTTTTAGGTTCATTTCTTTGGTGCATCTCTTGGAGGCTTTCTAGCACAGAAATTTGCTGAAGCAACCAGCAAAAGCCCAAGAACATGTTCCATTGTGTTGTGTAATTCCTTTGGTGATACAACTGTTTTTGAACAAACCTCGGTGGCCTATATGTAAGTTACTGTATTTGGTAGAAGCTTTCCCTCAGGGAAATGAATTACTGTACCTGGTAAGCTGACGAAGCTGAACAACTCAGCAAAGCAATGGTGAGAACACAACTATTATGTATAAATGAAAACATGTGTTGTTTTTTATTTTATTTAGGTACTGGGCAATGCCTGGATTTTATTTAAAAAGAATGGTGATGGAAAATTTCAATTCGAAAGAAGTCGATCCTGATATTGCGGATTCAATTGATTTTATGGTGGAAAATGTTAGTGTAGTTACAAGTTACAATATATTATTCAAATTTTCCAAAGTACTTACTGTGGTCCATGTAATTGCTTTCTGAATCTGACAAAAATTATATTTGCAATTTGCGAATGGAAAATCAACTCATTTATTCTCTTGTTATCTATTTATTTATTGGAATTCTGCTTCTACACTTTTGCTGCGATTTTCTTCTTCTGATAGATATGAATGACTTATAAATGTTCACATGAGGGTACATGTACTCAGAACATTCATGACTCATCTACTCGTTCACATGGAACTGAAGAAGAAAATCACACCTAAAATCACAGCAAAAATTGCAACTGGACATTAACCATTAAGATGCATTGTGCCCCAATGCACCCTACTTTATTATTTTTCTCTGCCAGATGATTTTACTCTTCAGGCAGAGAGTGCCAGTGCTCAGTGGATTAAAGTACAAATCATAGCTGGCTTAAGTCCAAGCTTTTGTTTAAAACTAGGATAGTAGTATATGATACTGCCTTTGTACTTCATGTCATTTCTTAATTGCCGCTTAATGTTTTTATCTGTTTGTCACAGCTCGACAGCCTAGACCGAAGTTCTCTTGCATCAAGGCTTACTCTCAACTGTATGAATTCATACATCGAACCTCAGAAAATTTCCAACATACCAATCACAATTGTCGATGTAAGTAAAACCAGTCTTATGTTTTTGCAACAATGTCTCGCAAAATAAAGCCTCAAGTGGAAACTTGCTGTACGAGACTACATCAAGTTGTGTGTATGTACTTTTTAATAAGTTACCAGCTTGTTGGTAAATTGTCAAAAGTCATCCACAGTTTTGTTGTGTATTGTTGTAGGTGTTTGACGAATGTGCATTATCAGAACAAGTCAAAGATGGTCTGTACAAACTATATCCTCATGCCAGAAGAGCGCATTTAAAATCAGGAGGAAACTTTCCATATCTGTGTCGAAGTTCTGAAGTCAATCTTTATCTACAGGTAAGGGTACTAATTCATCTTTCTAACCTTCCCCCTCCCACAACAACACATCCTCTTTAATAAGTATTCACTTGAGACCCTATAAACGGACCTGAGTGGCAATACGCCCTGATGTGCCCTACTTTATTATTTTACTCTGTCTAACGCCAGACGATTTTACTCGTCAATTGGAGGATGCTGCCACTCAGCGGGTTAATTACATCTTTTAAATCGGCCAGCCTCTGCAACTTGTTTCAACTCAAACTTTATCACGATTCAGAACACCTCATTTGAATCCGCATATCAGACTATTAATTGCCTTATAACACAGGTTATTTTATTGATTTGTTCATTCAATTTACCCTTTATCCATTTAGATCCACTTGCGTCAATTTGCTCGCACGCGCTACTCTGCTCTGGACCCGGATGTCGCGGCTGACGAGGAATTGGTGTTTGTTATGAACGACCCGACCACTTCGAAAACTGATTCATTTGACGAAGAAAATTAATAAACGAAAACTTTTCTACATTGCGTTAAGTGGTCCAGGGAATGAACGTTCACTGTACGATTGTCTGGTGTGATAAAGCCGTTGACGTAATAGAGGCATGCTTTAAACACTCTGAGGCCTGTTATACGAAGGCTCAGATAGCGCGATCCACTTGGTAGTGATTTTTTTCAAGTGCGTTTTAAAACTGTCCATTGATTGCTGAAAACCCAGATTAAACTTTAGTATTTATAAATTGAAGGTTTCTCTTTTATTCGAGGTTCATGACCGTACTATTATAGCTCTGAAAGTAATTTTACAACGGTTCAAAAAATCACTATCCAGAGCCGGTTGTATTAAAAAGTAGTTAAAGTTAACTATCGAGACTTTTTGCAGCGCTGCATCGGAATCGTAGGGCAGCAGGTTCGATTCCTGCTAGGGACCTAAAGTTGCATTTTTCGCTATATAAATTTCCACTCGACAATTTCCGTCTACAATCCCATCAAATGTTAACGTTACCTATACACTTAAGCCCCGTTTACACTACGCTCAATTTTTGGTACGGCACGGATAAAATTGGTACCCGTACCACTTTTTTGGTTCTTGGACTACCTATTCAGGTAGTCCAAGAACCAAAAAGTGGTATGGTACCAAAAATTGAGCGTAGTGTAAACGGGGCTTAGCTAAATAGGTAGACCAAGAACCAAAAAAGTGGTACGGGTACCAATTTTATCCGTGCCGTACCAAAAATTGAGCGTAGTGTAAACGGGGCTTTAGTACAAAATTTGAGAGTTCGCGAATTTGAGAGTTAACCACTATTTAACTACAAAACGGATAGTTAAAAAGTAGTACAGCCTTTTCAATACAACTGGCCCCACTGATCTAGAAATATAGAACCTATATTTCTAGATCAGTGAACTGGCCCCCAGTGGATAGCGCTATTCGAATATCGACCTTCGCACAACCGGCTCCAGGTTGGGTTAAATATATGGTAACCAGTTAGCTGGTCGTATATATCACTACTTCTTAGCATAGAATGGTTAATTCAAGCATGACGTCCTGGTAATCAGGAATCTAATGATTGCGATTGTTCCAAACAAGCCATGGTCACCAATGTCAAATATTCTGGGGACCGGTTGTTCAAAGCTGGATCAGCGTTAGCCATGAGTGTTAAAACTTCCGTTCATTTGAAAATTTCTACTATTAAACCAAACAAGATTTCTAGAACAATGTTTCCAAGTCTATAAAAAAACTGCTAGAAGATTTGCTTTAATCAATGGCCTAGAATTCAGCTAATCGGCTTTCGAACTACCGGTCTACTCGGGGCCGTACGCAGCGCTGGTAGAGGCAACAGGGGCGTCTGTCCCCTCCCCCACCCCCAAGGAAATTTAACTTACTAATTTTATAATGTTATTAACATTATTAAGCCAAGTGGCGCTTATAATCTTTGTGAATCAGAATTTATGGTTCTGTATGTGAGGCCATAAGCATGCATCTAGCTGACGACTTTGAATGCATCGACATTTGGATACTTATTTCAGCATATACGTATCACTAACCCCCTGGTGAAAAATCCTGCGTACGGCCCAATCATTAATTATAGACGTATTGACTCTATCCATAGAAATAATAGATATCTATTATGTGTACGAGTCATATTGTATGGCACACTTTCCATGGCTCACTGTGACATTGGAACCAGTTTTAATATACGTGAATTTTAAGCATAATTCGCTTAAGCCAAATTTTCAACTTTTTGTAATGATGGTCAAAATAGCAGTGCATATAACATTGACGTGCACAGCATTAATGAAATTTTTAATGTTATTATAAATCTCATTTTCATATATTAATTGTGTCATTTTGTATTCAGACCTGATTTGTATTATGATATTTCACTTATCATTTTGGGGTTTTACGGTTGACATAATATGGAGCACTAATGGTTTCGGCATGAATGTTTTATTATTTGGAAGGGTTCGTAATGTTTTCATCTTTGCAAAAAATATAATAAACAGTTATTGGGTGTGACGGAGATTAATGTCAATCCAATAATTGTTGTTTCATATCGTATAATCAACTGACTTCGTGGTATGCACACCAGAAATAACAAACAAATCACGTCTCGAAATTTTTGTGCCTTGCGCCATTTTGAATTTTAATATGTACCCACATACCCCAGCCTGGCAAAGAGGTAGTAAGCGCCCGCTTTGCAGGCTATCCAAATCGGCCAAATTTAAAATCGTACGTAGCTGGGCCTATACTTTCTCAAAGTGCATGACAAAGTAGTATACGGACACTTATTAGTGACGAACATATTAGTCTATAAAACTAATTTAATATAATCCCAATATTTCATTGCTCCCATTAATTTTATACAACCATTATTAAAACATTAAGATTAAAAAAATTGAGACTTAAGATTAACATTTCCTAACGATAGCATTCAACCAACCTTTCCGTTTCATATGGCAGTCAACAAATCACTGTGTTCAAAAATTCATCACAACCACAGATAAGTCTGTATTGAGGACGCCTTTATTTCTCCATTAAGATAACCTCGGCCAATATTCATCGTGATTTTTATATCATTGTTGCTTCTGTTCAGTATCACGGCACATTTAGAACCATTGGGCAACAGAAAGGCGATATATTCCAGACCATTGATTGTCGAAGAGGAAGTCATGTCAATTCGGAACGACCCAGGAAGCACAAACTTACTGAAGTGCCCCAAATGGTAGTACATCGGCTAGAATTGAAAAAAAAATAGGTTCGTTCTCTCTAGGATTCGACGATTTTTCCTTTGGGTTCTCCGTTTTTTCTCCCTCACAAAAAACCCAGTTCTGCCACCTTAGGGCGAGTTCATACGAACCCTGCTAACCAGGGTTGATTGATTGATTGATTGATAACTTTACTTTCTGATTGAGAAACATATCTGGATGAGTCAAATTCAAGGACATTTTAAGGACATTCAAGACCATGTATCAGCAAATTCAAGCACTAAATACTGAGAAGACGTTAGAAATCGTAGAATTCAGTAAAATGTGTATTGTTTAGCTTTGGCAGATATGAACGTGCAAAATCAATTAAACAAAATGTCCGTTTTGAATGTCAAAAAATTTTCAGGAAATATCCATAAACTAAAGCAAGAAGAATTTAATGATTTTCAGGCACTTCTTTACAAACTCAAGGGTACTCAAAGGACTTGAATTCTTGTTTTAAAATTCAAGGACATTCAAGGACTTTCAAGGACATTCAAGTTTTGTACGAACCCTGAGTTATATGAGCACAGAGGAAGCACAATGGAGTGGGATGATTTTTTTGGCATAAATATTTCTTTCGTGCCTACCTGTTTATAAAAGACGTTATGCTCACTGTCAACAATGATCGGAGAATCGACGAAGTTTTTCACCCAGTTGGGTCCACCTTCCATATTCAACGCCAAATTCCAATCGGTCCACCCTGCAACCCAGTGTTGAAAATCCTAAAGTAGCAATCATAAACGTTGCATTTCATTTTGTCATGTTGCCAGCATATTTGGCAATAGTGAAATAGTCAGCATATAAAAAGCACCATTTTTAGCGACGAGATGGGGTAACTAGATCCAGTGTATATACAGTAATTATCAGTGAGTATCGTGAATTTTCGTACTGACGTTGTGCATCATGAAACCTATATAATATACTCTAACACAATTGATGCATGATTTCAATGATCTGTTTGATGAATCATGTCTTTATTTCAAAACAGATATATAACACACAGATATATCTGCTAGACCAATAATTGAGTCGGTTTTATTTGATGTGCCGCGGGCTGTAAAGGCCTATGAATATCATAGATAAAAAATGAAGAAAAGTCTAGCAAACTTTTTGTCCGAGGTGAACGAAATAGGCAAAACATTGTTTCAAAAGCTCTTCAGTTATAAAATAAGTCCAGACGTTACGTGTCGGTGTCCACGGGACTGTATTTAGCTTACACCTTTCGTTCTCGGTATATATCATGCACTGACAATTTTTTTTACCATTTGGGAAATTTATAAAAGTTGAGTTTTTTCATGGTTTCTACATGGTAGATCCTTAAAAACCCATTCAACACCCATTGTTGGAAAATTACATTTTCCCCCTGTGATTTCTTCACTTTAGCTGGTTACTGATTAGGACTAAAATAGCGATTATAGCTTAAAGATCAGTTTAGGATCGGGGTTAAGATTGTATGGATTGAGAATATGGTTTAACAGAGTTAATTTTGCACTTGTCTGGTACCATCACTATATCAAGTAAACATAAACTGTATCTTAGCTCCCGGTTTATAGTCAGGAAAACAACCCATGCATTAAGACTTTGAATATATTCACTTATTAAAATCAACATCAATAACAATGTATTTACAATTTGTTGTGTACTATACATATGCATGAGAATGGTTTATAAATTGTTTTACGACGTGCAGTATTATAAGTCACCATTTGGTAGTCAAGTTATCTTGTAATGTCAACAATATTTTACAACTGCAGTAGGATAAAACCTTGCTTCAGCCATGGCTGGGAACTTCGTCCATGTGTTTGCCTCGAAATTGTAACATTCAACAGAACGAAGGCTGCGGCAAGTTCTGTCCCAACCTCCCATTGTGATGATATTATCACCAATGATCACTGCTGTGCAATCACGTCGCTTCGTTGTCATCTCCGGCAGCATCCGATAATTTCCAGTAGTAACATTATACAGTATGGCTGAATTGAGAACTTTTCGCCCATTGTCCGCACCACCAAGGACGGCCACATTGTCGTTCCACGTTACTGTTGCCATCCCAAATGTAGGGTACGGAAGTTTTTTGAGCTCCGTACAAGTATTGGTTGCTGGGTCAAACATGAGGACAGTGTCTGTTGCGTCTTTAGGATATCCTGTGGTCCTGCCACCAATAATGTAGACCTTGTCATTCACTATCTCAGAACCATGGTGACATATTGGCCGTGGCATCTTGGTGAGCAACTTTGATGTATAGGGAGGGGTGAGCTGAATTTCATGTATTGTATCATAAACTCTGCCGTAAATATATCCTCCTATAACAAGGAGGCGATTTTGCAATACAACACATGCGTGATAAGCAGAAGGCATTGGTAATTTAAATCGAGATTTAACCCAATGTCCATCTTGCTGCGAGAGATTTAGTTCTTCAACACTGTCCAGGTATTGTGCGAAATACTCTCCGCCTGTCATTATCATGTGACCTTGGTATATAACTGAGCTTGCTCCAGATCTACATCCATTAATCTCAATCAGTTCACATTCAATTGTAAAGGATCTACCTTCATTCATCATTGACAGTGGCCGCCACTTTTTGGTTGCCATGTTAAACACTTCGACAGATCTATCGTCAAAACTACCTCCTCCTGCAACGACAATCTCGGCTTGCAAATCCCGACCACTGCTTGCATGACTGGCTTTCGAACATTGTGCCGTATTTCTTTCAATTCTCACGAGATTTGACATCATATTTTGCATCACTTTAAACATTTCATCTTGGAAGGCACAAAGTTTGCTCACTTGACGTTTCACGTCCGTCATATCGGCTATCATTTCACGAATTTCTTTCCGTGCTGGGCATGTATGCTGCATAAAGTTCTTATACAGTACCATTTCGCCGCAGTAATCACAGTTGACTCGTCGAAAATCACAAACTTTATTTTCATGAATTTCTTTATCACGTCGACTTATTATTTCCTCACATTGATCGTTGGAACATGGCACTGGACTGAAACCACAAGTTGCTACGTGTGTGTCGAGTGAGCCAAGTTCGACGACATTGCGACAACCACGCTCGGAATTCTCGCACGAAATCTTCAAACTTGATAAGGTGTTTCCTATAGAAACCTTTGAGGTCGGCCAAGAGTTTCTTCGGTCAAGAGATCTTGACATATTGGGCAATTTCGGGAGTGTTTTAGATGTTCAGTGATACAAGCTCTGCAGAAACGATGCTCATTCCTACGACATTGTACTGGATCTTTTAATACATTCGTACAGATGACACAATGAAGGTTTTCATCAACTTTTGTTTCAAATCTGCTATCTTCATAACCTTGTTCAATCGCTCAATAGATTTCTACATTTTACTTCTTTTGTAGCGAAAAACCTCACACAAGGACATGTAGACATTTGAATGGTTAATATGTGACGTGACTCTTTATTTCAAGTTATGCTTTTGACTTGGAGGAATTTTCACAATGTACAGTTTATATTTGTTTGCTTTTCTTGGTGACTTACCCGCAGGAGGCAACTTTGCACAATAATTTGGCTCGTTTTTATTCAAAAATTATTCAAAACAAAACTAGTTCGTTAAATAAATATTTTTCATTCATATAATTTTCATTAATATAATTTATATAATACTTTCAGTTTTCGTTTTTGCTTTCCATTCTACAGTTTAAAACAGAAATGAAATAGAAATGAAAGACATATTTAATTGAACTATAATGCTTTGTAAATAATAATTGAGCATTTGAGAACGCTGTCGTACTGTACTGTGCTGTTCTGTAGTCATTAGTCAATTCAAATTTATTCAACGCATTAGATTCCTAGACAGGCTAAACTTGCTATAAAACTTGTGAACTTATGAAGGGTGTGAACTAGTAGTGCCTTACAAAAGCCCAGAGCAAAAGCTATCTTGAATATTCTAAAAACGAATCTTTCTTTCGTGACAAATAGATACCCTGCGAGCAAAGTCCTCTCGTATTTCTTCTCGGCACGGCACGGAGAAGCGAGAGAGACTCTGCAGAACTTGTGCACAGAATAAAGAATTCAATTCTTTATTCTGTGACTTGTGTATAAATTCATTTGAGCATGCGCGAAGGTTGCTAGGCAACTGCCTATTTCACAGAAGAAGATTTAATAAGTAGTTTCCGGTTCGGATCAAAACCGGTTATAAAACCTGTATCAAACATGAAATTACGCATAATTATCCACCTGTATCAAACCTGAAATTACGCATAATTATCCAAGTTTTTGGATTGTCGGCTCCACAAAGAATATATACACAAGTTCTGCAGAGTCTCTCTCGCTTCTTCGTGCCGTGCTGAGAAGAAATACGAGAGGGCTTTGCTCGCAGGGTAACAAATAGATTGCATCTTAAAAATCATAACTTTTCTAACCTTGGATTATTCCTAATCCAACTCTAATCAGTGTTTCGCATTCACACCAGTCACCAGGGACCGGTTGTATAAACCTCTTAATTATACACTTTACTACCCGTTTCGTAGTTAAATTGTAATTATAACTCCAAAATGCACTATTCTGATTGGTTAACTTTTCCACTAACTATAGTTAACTTTACTACATTTTCATACAACTGGCCCCAAACCATTATGTAAATTTGGTTTCGTGTCAACAGATGGAACAGTACGAGTTATGGTAGAGTTCTGTATTTGTAGTCAGGTAAAATGTAAACATTGCAATAGATGAATATATACTACCTTACCGTGTATTCAATAAAACAACCAGTTCAAAACTTGGTATTATATATTGGTATCAACATTAATAGCAACAGTGCAATATTTGTATTTCTATCGTACCTTAACGATTTTACACAAGAAAAGCTAGCATAAGTTTTAAATTCCTTTACAGTTAATTGTCTCCCATGTATAAAAAAGAATAGTGTATAAATTGTTTTATGACGTGCAATATTATAAGGCACTATTTTGTAGTCAATTCATCTTGCAGTGTCAACAATAATTTGCAACAGCAGTAGCGCTAAACGTTGCTTGAACCATGGCTGGGAACTCTGTCCATGTGTTTCTATCGAAATTGTAACATTCAACAGAATTAAGTATAATTCCAGTTTCGTCTCTACCTCCCATTGTGATGATGTCCTCACCAATGGCCACTGCTGTACAACAAAATCGCTTCTTTGTCATCTCCGGTAATTTGCGGTGACTTCCTGTAGTAACATCATACAGTATGGCTGTATTAAGAACGTTGCTTTCTTTGTCCGCACCACCAAGGACAACCACATTGTCTTTCCAAGTTGCTGTTGCCATGTTTGACACTGCGTATGGAAGTTTTTTGAGCTTTGTACAAGTATTGGTTGCTGGGTCAAACATGAGGACTGTATTTTTTGCGTGTTTATGAGATATTGTCTTTTTGCCACCAATAATGTAGATCTTGTCATTCACAACCTCAGCACCATGGTAACACAATGGTCGTGGCATCTTGGTGAGCAACTTTGATGTATAGGGAGGGGTGAGCTGAATTTCATGTATTGTATCATAGACTCGGCCGTCAACATATCCTCCTATAACAAGGAGGCGATCTTGTAATACAACGCATGCGTGACCTCTGGACGGCATTGGTAATTTAAAATGAGATTTAACCCAATGTCCATCTTGCCGAGCAAGATTCAGCTCTTCAACACTGTCCAGGTATTGGCCAGAATATCCACCAGTCACAATCATGTGACCTTGGTACATAACTGAACTTGCTCCTTGTCTGCGTTCAATCATCTCTGACATTGGCCGCCATGTTTTGCTTGTCATGTTGAACAATTCGACAGATTGATCATCAAACCCTCCTCCTGCAACGACAATCACGGCTTGCAATTCCTGACCACTGCTCGCATGACTGACTTCCGAACATGATTCCGCCGTATTTCTTTCAATTCTCACAAGATCAGAAATTTTGGAATATAATTCCTCATCACCGCTCGCATGACTGACTTCCGAACGTTGTGCCGTATTTGCTTCAGTTCTCACGAGATCAACAACCTCGGCTTTCAACTCCTGGCCACTGCTTGCATGACTGGCTTCCGAACGGTGTACTGTATTTCTTTCAATTCTAACGAGATTTGACATCATATTTTGCATCACTTTAAACATTTCATCTTGGGAGGCACAAAGTTCGCTCACATGACGTTTCACATGAGTGATGTCGGCTTTCAATTCATCAATTTCTTTCCGAGCTGGGCATGTATGCTGCATAAAGTTCTTATACAGTACCATTTCGCCGCAGTAATCACAGTTGACTCGTCGAAAATCACAAACTTTATTTTCATGAATTTCTTTATCACGTCGACTTATTATTTCCTCGCATTGATCGTTGGAACATGGCACTGGACTGAAACCACAAGTTGCTACGTGTGTGTCGAGTGAGCCAAGTTCGACGACATTGCGACAACCACGCTCGGAATTCTCGCACGAAATCTTCAAACTTGATAAGGTGTTTCCTATAGAAACCTTCGAGGTCGGCCAAGTGTCTCTTCGGTCAAGGGATCTTGACATATTGGACAATTTCGGGAGTGCTTTAGATGTTCGGTGATACAAGCTCTGCAGAAATGATGCTCATTCCTACGACATTGTACTGGATCTTTTAATACATTCGTACAGATAATGCAATGAAGAATTTCATCGATTTGTGTTTCAAATCTGTTATCTTCATAACCTTGTTCCATCGCTTCTCAATAGATTTCTACATTTTGCTTTCTAAACTTTCGTGGCGAAGTAATTCACACAAGGACACGAGACGTTTGAAAACCAACTATTTTGACAATGTACTGTTCCTATAACTTGCTTGCTTTTCTTGGTAACAATAACCACGGCCACAGGAGGCAATATTCCTACACAATAATTAGTTTATATTTTGGCTTGTTTTTATTCAAAGAATGTTCAAAATAAAGCTAGTTTGTTTTGTTGGAAAATTTTATTTAAATATTATTAGATCCAGAACTCTTCATTTCATTCATATATTCTCTCTTTTTATACTGGTTTCCTCTTTGCTTTGCCTTTTCTATACTAAAACAGACATGGTATTACAAATGTAAGTCAGATTTAATTAATCTACTGCTGTGTAGTGACTGAACATTCGATAACGCTTTCATGCTGTGACGTTTTCCAGTTACATGTACACGATACCAGATTCGCATGCCACAACATCAAATTTAACCTATAAACTGTGATTTGACGAAGTAATATCCGAACACTTCACATTCCGATTATATGACAAAATGGACGAAAACTACTGTCTGACGGATGAGGGGAGAATTGTGTGAGCATACCTTACTCCTAAACGGCACAATTTGATGTCGTAGTAACAAGCGAATCCGGTGTCGTATAATCGTGTAACTGGGGCCTAAATTTATTCAAAACATGCATGATATCAGGCTCCCACTTGAAAATATATCAAAAAAACAAAACTAGCTTTATTTTGAATAATTTTTAATAAAAATTATAGCGCAAATCGAAAGCAACTACATTGACATTTCATTGTTAAAACTCCTGAATGTCACAGAACGTGGAATGAGACACCCATGCTCAGAGACTAAACCCTCGAATGTCTACATGTTTTTGAAGGTGAAATGTTTTAAAATTATGCAAAATATATGATGTCCAAACTTGAACAAAATACGGCACAATGTTTGGAAACCAGTTATGCAAGCATTGCTCGGGACTTGCAAAACGAGATTATCGTAGATTGAGAAGAAACCTGTTGCCCGTGTTGGAGTGCAACCAATACTTGCACAAAGCTCAAGAAACAGGCAACATGCAGTAACTTGGAAAGACAAGCCTTAAAGGTCCTGAATTGTGTATAATTATACTGTACAGTATACGCTCACTTGGATTATCCACCAAACCCAGCATTCTAGTTCAACAAAATGAAGTTTCAACCATTCTAGTTCAACAAACATAGTTTTTAATAAGCAATCTATTTTTCAGCCGGAAGTGAATCCTGTATTTTAATGTTAAATGTATACGACATGAAAATCATTTTCAGAATATGAAGTTCGCTTTTGTTCTGGGATTTTGTAAGGTATAGGTTCGCACGCTTTTACAACAAGTGGGCGTCTAGTGCATTGAAGAAGTTTAAATTGACCGCAGAGTGTCACAGCATGAAAGCGTTCTCGAACGTTCAGTTATTATTTACAAAGTAACAGTTGAACTAAATTTGTCTTTCGTTTATATCTCATCTCTGTTTTTAAAGTATAGAAGGGTTGAAGAAAACAACGTAAAGAGAGAAGACGAATGAAAAAAATCACTTCTAATAATGTTTAAAGAAATAAAAAATTCCAAAAGTACAAGACAATAGCTTTATTTTGAAAAATTTTGAAATAGAAATGAGCACAAACCGAAACTAACTATTGTGCAGCAATTTTGCCTCCTGTGGTTACGAACTTACGATATCAAGAAAAGCAAAGAAGTTAAAAACAGTACATTGTCAAAATTCCTCAAAATCAAAAGCAGAACTTGGAATAAAGAGACACGTCACAGACTAAACCTTCAAACGTCTACATGTCCTTGTGTGAGTTACTTCGCTACGAAAGTTTAGAAAGTAAAATGTAGAAATTTATTGAGAAGCGATGGAACAAGGTTATGAAGATAGCAGATTTGAAACGAAAGTCGATGAAAACCTTCATTGTGTCATCTGTACGAATGTATTAAAAGATCCAGTACAATGTCGTAGGAATGAGCATCATTTCTGCAGAGCTTGTATCACCGAACATCTAAAACATTGCCGAAATTGCCCAATATGTCAAGATCCCTTGACCGAAGAGACACTGGGCCGACCTCAAAGGTTTCTGGCAAACACCTTATCAAGTTTGAAGATTTCGCGCGAGAATTCCGAGCGTGGTTGTCGCAATGTCGTCGAACTTGGCTCACTCGACACACACGTAGCAACTTGTGGTTTCAGTCCAGTGCCATGTTCCAACGATCAATGTGGAGAAATAATAAGTCGACGTGATAAAGAAATTCATGAAAACAAAGTTTGTGATTTTCGACGAGTCAACTGTGATTACTGCGGCGAAATGGTACTGTATAAGAACTTTATGCAGCATACATGCCCAGCACGGAAAGAAATTAGTGAAATGAAAGCCGACATCACTGATATGAAACGTCAAATGAACAAACTTTGTGCCTCCCAAGATGAAGTGTTTAAAGTGATGCAAAATATGATGTCAAATCTCGTGAGAATTGAAAGAAACACGGCACAACGTTCGGAGGCCAGTCATGCAAGCAGTGGTCAGGAGTTGCAAGCCGAGATTGTCGTTGCAGGAGGGGTTGCATGTAAAACTGTCGAAGTGTTCAACATGGCAACCAAAACAAGGCGGACACTGTCAAAGATGAATGAACGTAGACTTGGAGCGAGTTCAGTTGTATATCAAGATCACATGATTGTGACTGGTGGATATTTTAACCGGCAATACCTGGACAGTGTTGAAGAATTAAATCTCTCGCAGCAAGATGAACATTGGATTAAATCTCGATTTAAATTGCCAGTGCCTTCCGCTTATCACACATGTGTTGTACTGCAAAATCGCCTCCTTGTTATAGGAGGAGAGAGTGACGGCAGAATCTATGATACAATACATGAAATTCAGCTCACCCCTCCCTATACATCAAAGTTGCTCACCAAGATGCCACGGCCAATATGTGACCATGGCGCTGAGATAGTGAATGACAAGGTCTACATTATTGGTGGCAGGACAACAGGTTATGATAAAGACACAACAGACACTGTCCTCATGTTTGACCCAGCAACCAATACTTTTACAGAGCTCAAGAAACTTCCGTACCCTGTATCTACGATGGCAACAGTAACATGGAAAGACAATGTGGTCATCCTTGGCGGTATAGACAAGAAAGGCAACGTTCTCAATTCAGCCATACTGTATAATGTTACTACAGGAAGTCACCGAATGCTGCGGGAGATGACAAAGAAGCGACGTGGTTACACAGCAGTGATTATTGGTGATAATATCATCACAATCGGAGGTGAGGACAAACGTTTCACTGAATTTAATTCTGTTGAATGTTACAATTTCGAGACAAATACATGGACAGAGTTCCCAGCCATGGCTGAAGCAAGATCTGGTGCAATTGCTGTTGTAAAATATTATTGACACTGCAAGATGACTCGACTGCCAAATAGCGACTTATAATATTGCA